CATGGCTTACTTTGTGGGCGTGGCTTGGTGGGGGTAATGTGATTGGGTGGGCGTGACCAACTTTTTTTAAAAAAACTTTTAAAAGGATTTTTTCTACAACCTTAAGAGGTTGCAGAAAAAAATGCTTTGAAAAGCCTCTGATGATCTCAGCTGAGCCGCGGGATCATCACAGGCTTTTTAAAAAACTTTTAAAAGCATTTTTTTCCTCTGAAGAGGTTGTAGAAAAAATGCTTTTAAAAGTTAAAAAAAAAAAAAAGTGTCTGATGAGGTGGGCGGGGTAAGCGAGCGGCGACCGGGCCGGGGACCGGTTCAGGGGCGTGGCCAGCCAATGTTATTACCAGTTCTTCCGAACTACTACAAATTTTTACTACCGGTTCTTGTGAACCGGTGCGAACTGGGAGCAACCCACCACTGCATGACATGATGCTGCAATTAGTCATAAATGTGAGCAGTTGCCAAGCACCCAAAATGTGATAGCATGACTGTGATGCAGCAGTCGTAACTTGGAGGACAAGCCCTAAATAATGTCAGTCATTAAGCGATTGGTAGTAAGTGCAGGACTAGCTGTAGTAGATGAAACAAGGGCTTCTAAATAGACACTATTTTGTCCTTTCCTCAAGGACCTCAGGGGTTGCAATGCAGTGTTCTGTGCACGCACGCAGGACTCCATTCAGTATTTTCAACAATCTGGCCATGGAGGTTTACAATAACAATCAACCAATACGATCCAAGGTGGAGAACTCTGAACAAATCAAAGTTATTTTGGTCCAAATCCAAGCTTCTACACCAACTCATCTATACGGTATGGAATTCATTAGGAAAAATAAATTTGAATCTATTCCCAAATCTATTGAAGGCTTTGCTTCATCCATGCAGAGAATAGGGAAACAGAAGCATACGTATTAATTCTTGCACGGTAGCTTCTATTTATCCTCCTCCTGGGCCCAATTTACAATTATTTTTGGATGTGTTTTCAACATGACTCTGAATCTCTTTTCCCAAGCTATCTTGCACTGATTTGTGGGACTTTAATACTCATATTGATTCCTCACCAGCTGCATGGGATTTATTTTTTCTGTCCTGTCTCTCTAGTTTTTCCCCCCACTCCTTCTCATAATAATAGAAGACTTTAGACTTGGTATCGCAGGGGTGTCAAAATGGCGGCCCACAGGCCGGATGCATTACGTGTAGGACATGCCCACCCCGGCTCCGCAAAGGCAAAAAAACATCTTGATCAAGTTTGACACCCATGGTTTAATTATTAAACCTTCTCTGGGCTTAGTTTTGCGCACAGATTATCAGTCAGTCTTCTCTACCTTTGTCAACTTCCCATCTCAGCTTCCATCTCAGGTTGCACATGATTTCTTTTCAGCTGTGCTTTCAGCGATCTCACCTCTGCTTTGTATTTTGGGATATTTATCTCCTTATGCCTCTTCCTAAACTGTGGAGTCTATCACTGCCAATTGTTTAGCTGACCTGATTATTAATACTGCAGGTAGCCCTCAACTTATGACCGCAACTGAGCCCAACATTTACGTTGCTAAGTGAGAAAATTGTTAACAGAGTTTTGCCCTGTTTTAGGACTTTTCTTGCCACAGTCGTTAAGTGAATCACTGCAGTTGTTAATTCAGTAACACGGTTGTTCAGTGAATCCTGCTTCCCCCTTGACTTTGCTCATCAGAAGGTTGCAAAAGAGGATCACGCGATCCTCCCCCCCCGGGACAACGCAATCATCATAAATATGAGTCAGTTTATCAAACATTCAAATGTAATTCGTGTGACCATGGGGATACTGCAACGGTCCTAATTTTTTCCGTGCCATTTTAACTTCGAACAGTCACTAAATGAACTGTTGTAAGTTGAGGACCACCTGTAATTTAACACTGCGGAGATAAGTCTCAAATGCTACAGGTGGCAGCCAGACCTTAAAAGCACTTACAGAAAGTCAAAGAGATAGAAGCCTGAGGGAAGCAATAAAAATACCTGTACTGTATTGAAGTTGCTATGGTTCAGGGTTGTCCTGGCCAGTAGTGGGTTTCACTTACCTTCGCTACCAGTTGGAACTGTGAAAACACATGTGTGCGCGCGCTTGCTTCGCTTGTGTGTGGCGCTTCTGCGCATGTGAAGAATCTTCTGCGCATGCGCAGAGCATTCATGATGATGTCCGGGCGGATGGGCGGAGCCTCCTGCCGCTGCCGCTACCGGTTCACATGAACTGGGATGAACCGGTAGAAACTGTTAAGGATATTGTTGTTGTGTTACCAACCAGCAGAGTAAATGCACAAGGAAACGTTGCTGAGAGCAATGAATAAGAGTTATGCAAACTGGTTTATCAAAAGCTTACTTTACAGTGGAAAAAACAGTCTCATAGTCTTTAAACAAATTCCAAGTCTTTGCCAGTAAATCAGTCCAGTAGTTACAGAATCTTCTTACCCAACAAACAGTAGTTGGTTAGAATAACAAACTCACTCTGGTTCACAAACCACGATGGTTGCAGATCCATCCAACGATGATTAGCAGATAACAACTCCTCTCAATGGTAGCTTATCATAGCAGCTTCATCATCTCATCATCTTCATACACAATGGCAGCATAGCATAGCAGCAACTGAACATGTTACAGTACCTTGCTTAAATACTCTCATAACCAGTCATTATCTAATTACAGCATGACTCAGCATTAAAGTCACATAATACATTTACAGATTAAAGTAACAGTACACTTATATTGCCTGGACAACTGTTAGGCTCAAACCATATCCTAACAGAAACCCACCACTAATCCTAGACAAGAATGCACACTGAGAGTTAGAGAGTTAGATCACTGAGACAGGAGGTCAAACTCAAGGCCCGGGGATTGAATCTGGCCCACGGGGTGCTTAGATCTGGCCCACAGGGCCACCCTGGAAACAACAAAGGACTGGTCCATGGTGCCTCTGCTAGCAAAAATGGAGCTCAGGAAGGCTGCATGCAGGGTTGCAGGAGGCCATCGCAGCTGAAACGGAGCTCTTGAGGGCGGCAGGCAGCACTCCCAAGCTCCATTTTCGCTGGCAGAGGGTTGCAGGAGGCCGTCGCAGTCGAAAACGGAGCTCTGGAGCCCGTTTTCACTGGCAGAGCGCTCAGGCCACCATAGGCGCCGCCGACATGAGTGACGTCAAGCTGGCCACACCCACCCTGGCCACACCCACCAAGGTCAAACACAATCCTGATGTGGCCCTGAATGAAATCGAGTTTGACACCCCTGCTTTATAACCAGACACATGTCTCCAGCCTTAGGAAGCGAGATGGTCCCAGTTAGAGGACCAGAAGGGCACCTGGTGGAGGATTGCCGCCCTTATGCTGTAGACTCATACAGGAAAGCTCTAGTTAAGTTTTTTTCCCACCACCTTCAAGAAGTTCTTAATTCAGAACATCTCACCAAGTTGTAACAGATCGTCCTCATCTTACAACTATTCATTTAGTGACCTTTCAAAGTGACAGCGGCATTGAAAAAAGGGACGTATGACCATTTTTCCACACTTGCAGTACCCCCATGGTCACAGAGCTAAAATTCAGTTGCTTGGCAACTGACTCTTACTTATGACGGTTGCAGTGTCCCGGGGTTATTTGATCACCTTTTGCGACCTTCGGAAAAGCAAAGTCAATAAGGAAAGCCAGATGCACTTAACAATAGTGTTACTCAACAACAGCTGCACTTCACAACTGTGGCGAGGAAGGTCGTAAAATGGGGACGAAACTCAACTATCTGGCTTAGCATTGGAAGTTTTGTGGTCATAAGTCGAGGACTACCTGGACTTGTCCTTCTTTATTAGTACAGCCCATTCCTGAATTGGAGGATATGTGGAGGATACTTTTATCAAATAAGGTGATGAATATTGTTCATTGTTTTCCTTCTTCCGTCCTTCCTCTATCATTTATCATCTCGTCCCAATAGTTCTGCTTTTGAATTTATCCCTAACTTGGATGGTGGCGTTCAGCAAATTGTGCAGGGATTTCCTTCTCTTTACAACTTCTCTTGCTGATCCGTTGTCCAACTTACTCGTCTACCCTTCTCTTGCTGTATGTAACCCTCCCCATGAAGTGTTCTTTAACTACAGGTAGTCCTCGACTTACAACAGTTTGTTTACTGCCTGTTCAATGTTACGATGGCACTGAAAAAAAGTGACTTATGACCATTTTTCACACTTATGACCTTTGCAGCATCCCCTTGATCATGTGATCAGAATTCAGACGCTTGGCAAAATGGCTCATATTTATGACCGTGGCTGTGTCCCAAGGTCCTGTGTCAGTGGTGGGTTTCAATTTTTTTTTACTACCGGTTCTGTGGGTGTGGCTTGGTGGGCATGGCAGGGGAAGGTTACTGCAAAATCCCCATTTCCTCCTGATCAGCTGGGACTCAGGAGGCAGAGAATAGATGTGGGCGGGGCCAGTCAGAATTTTTACTACCAGTTCTCCGAACTACTCAAAATTTCCGCTACCGGTTCTCCAGAACTGGACAGAACCTGCTGAAACCCACCTCTGTCCTGTGTTCCCCTTTTGTGACCTTCCGACAAGCAAAGTCAATGGGGAAGCCAGAGTCACTTAACAACCGGGTTACTAACTTACCCACTGTAGTGATTCACTTAACAACTGCAGCAAGAAAGGCTGTACAATGAGGCAAAACTCACTTAACAAATGTTTCACTTAAGAGACAGGTTGGATTCAATTGCGGTCGTAAGTTGAGGACTTACCTGTGCTGGTAATTTTCCAGATTCTAAGTACACGCTTCTCCTTGCTAAAAAAATAAATAAAATCCTTGGATCTTTCTTTGCACTCAAATGACTAACCTCCATCGTTGTTTCCTTTCTAGTCCTTGAGAAAGTTGCCTTCTCAAAATTGAATTTTCATTTGGCTTTTAATGGCTTCTCAATCTATATCGATCAGGATTTTAAGGCAAGCCACTCAGCTGAGACAGCACGTTTGCAAATTCTGAATTACATTCTGGTGGCCGAGATCTAGCACCATCTATCAGTATTGGTCCTCTTGGATCTGCCAGCAGAATCTGAGCAACATTAAAAGGATAAGACGTGAACAATAGCATATGACTCTGAGGATAGAAGAATAACTCCAATCACAAAAGAATACATCAACATTGAACACATTTGACCATCAAATATTATGGTGAGGGTATTTGGGCATCTTTGGTGGTTCCCTCAACGGTTTGAATCTTTTTTTTTTTCTTTTCATTTGTTCTTTCCTAGTATTGCATGGTGAGCTTCAGCCCCAGGACTTTCCTCTTGTGGCAGATGTCCCTCAGGAAACAATGCCAGGTTTACCTTTTAGATCTTTTCAGTGGTGAAATGTAAAATCTGTTACTACCGGTTCTGTGGGCATGGCTTGGTGGGGGGGGGGGGGTATAATGGACTGGGTGGGCGTGGCCAACTTTTTTCTTTTTTTTACTTATAAAACCATTTTTTCTACAACCACTTCGGCTGAAGAGGTTGTAGAAAAAATGCTTTTAAAAGCCTCTGACGATCCCAGCTGAGCCGCATGACCATCAGAGCCTTTTTTTTTTTTTACTTTTAAAAGCATTTTTTTGGCCGAAGAGGTTGTAGGAAAAATGCTTTTAAAAATAATTGTAAAAAAAGCCTCTGATGATTGCATGGCTCAGCTGGGCATGGGGGGGGGGGAAGCAGGGATTTTTGCTATCGGTTCTCCGAACCATCCGCCGCCATCGCTACCGGATCGGGCAATCCGGTCCGAACCGGGAGCATTTCACCCCTGGATCTTTTCTTTGAGTGTCCTGATTCATGATGCTGATGATACAGGGAATCCTCAACTTACGACCACAATTGGGACAAGAATTCCCATTGCTAAGCAAGATGGACATTAAATGAGTCACACCAATTTTTTAAAAAAAATTTTTTGCCACGGTTGTTACGTGAATCACTGCAGTTGTTAAGTGAACCATCTGGTCGTTAAGCAAATCTGGCTTCCTCATGGCCTTCGCTTGCCAGAAGCCATTTGGGAAGGTTGCCAATGGCAATCATGTAATTGTCAGTCCTGGAAGACATCTTTTACTTTGGACACTATCCCAGGACACTACAATCTTCACTACAAATGCTGGCTGGTTGCCAAGTGCCAAATTTTGATCATGTGACCACGAGGATCCCACAATAGTCATCAATGTGAGCACCAGTCATAAGTCCCTTTTTCAATGCCGCCGTAACTTTGAATTAAAAGAATGTTTCTAAGTTGAGAACTACAATATGTATACTGTACTTAAGTTTATTGTCTTTTGTGGCCTTGATGACATTTCCGATTTAAAAAATATACTCTCTGAAATACTTGGTCTTTATCAACAATACAGAATATCTTAGCCAAATTTCCTCTGAGATGTCTTCTCACCATCTTAAGCTGAATATGGATAAGACTTCCTATCATGAGTAAGTCAACCACTGTTTGAAGTATCTAAACTATGTCAGGTTTTGGCACTGCTTCAAGTTGAACCACAGCCCTACTAAAGGTACTTAATTGCACCCCTCTTTGCCCGCACTAATTGCACTTCATTGCCATCATCACGTCCTAGCTTGAAATGCAGATATTCACTAATGAATGATCCATTGACATCTCTGTGGCAGAGACCCAGATGAACATACATGTATTGCTTATTTCTGAATAGCTGTCATCATCCATGGTTAGTCTGAAAACCCGGGAAGTTCAATCCTACATTATAAATGACCTGCACTTCAGGACTTCAATTAGGGGTCTAATTGATCTAGCTTGACTTTTAGGATTGCATCTCTCACCCTTCCCCAAACACGGTATAAATCAGTACAATTGCTACCACCTACTGAACGAGCAAGGGAACTACTTAATAGTTACAAGAAGTAACTACTTCAGTTTGGAGATTTGTGGGATTTACAGAAATGATATCTCTGCCAGCCTCTAAGCTCTAGCCTCTTAAACTCCTTGCAGAAGCTGTATTCTCTATTAATATGGCCCAAAACACCAAGGCCAAGAAAAGCTTATTAAGAGTCCCCCAAACTCAGGTTAGGATTTCTGTTTAACGCTACATAGAATATAGCTGATAACATACAATAAAGCACCCTGTGGGCTGAAAAAACCCCAGTTAATCTGGTGGTTTCTAAAGTGTTACTAGATTCATTGTAATGTTTCTTGCTTACAGCAGATTAATATAGCAGCATTTTACAACAAAAATAGCAAAAAAATAAGAAGCAACATTTCCGATTTAAAAAAAGACACTCTCTGAAATACTTGGTCTTTATTGCTTATAAGATTTTTTTAGCAAGATGAACTTTTGTAATCAATATTTCCCTTGGCCAAATTCTCCTTAACACCACGATGTGGTAGGAGGGTACAGTGTTTTCAATACAGCTGACAGTGATGTTGATGGGAGTGGAAGGTTCATCCTTCCATGCGGACCAAAAGGGGAACAGTGAAGATCCCAATAATTCACAGTGGAAGAACTTTGAAACTATAAGGGAAATCACCCACTTAAGAGGAGGAACTCCAGAATCAATTCTGGAAGAAAGAGTAGTAAATCACCTCTCTACTGTTGCCAATAAAATTGTAGTCCTGGCTGAAACATTAAAGATGAGTTTGGATCAGGGGTGGGCTGCTGGGGGTTTTCAAGGGTTCGAGAGAACCTCTAGCTAAGATTCTGTGCAGTTTGGAGAACCTCCAAATCCCACTCCTCGCTGGCCCCTCCCACCCCCACATGGCCCGTTTTGGATGCAGGTAAGTGCAGGACGCGCTCAGAAGCTCGGGGATGGCAAAAAACGGGCCTACCAGAAGTTCGGGGAGGCCAGAAACGGGCCTATTTCCAGCCTCCAGAAGGCCTCCAGAGCCTGGGGAGGCCGTTTTCGCCCTCCTGGAGGCTTGAGGAAAGTCTCTGGAGCCAAAATGCCCCCCCCCGCCATGGTGCAGGAGGCTGACTAGGCCACACCCACCATGGCCACGCCCACTCAGCAACCAGGCAGAGAACTCCTTGCTAAAATTTTTGAAGCCTACCCCTGGTTTGGATGCAAGATGATAAAAACCATAAGGAGGAAGGGACTTTTTAAATTATACTGGGGGATAACACTGAACCTTCATGAGTAAATCTGAAGGTGATGCTATGGCCAAACCAATGCTGCTAGGAAGCATGCTCACTAATGGTGTTAGCATTGCAAGATAAATTTCTTAATTAACAGAACAGCTACAGCACTGAATGTGAAAAGCATGGCTCAAGGAGAACACAGACTTGTCAAAATAGAAATTAAATGAAATAAACTGGAAGCTTCTGGAATAACTAACTTGGATGGACTGTAACGGTGGACTGTTTTAAATGAGATAATACCACGCTTAGTAATGGAGAGGCTCGACAACTAAAATGGACATTCCTAATTATATTCTTAGCTATAGTCCAATAACAAACAGAAACACATCTATTAGTGGCTATCTTGGGGCTGTTAGTATTGTACAAGTCTAGGTCCCTTAACATTGATTCAGTGATCGAAAGCATTGAACAATTTTGTGGTTAAAAAGTATAATTAAGAAAACACAACTACTAATGGAATTCAGAAGATGGAGAGGTTGAAAATTTGGAATTTCAAGAAAAATTGATCTGAGAAACTAAACAATAAAAGATAAGCAAAAAATATAAGAATTGCAGGATATGGCAGCTGGAATCAAAATAGGAAGCTGAAATATTCCTCCTTTCAGTTTTTCATTCATTCTTCAACTTATTCATGAAGTTGTCAAGTGGCTTACATAATAAAGCAAAAATTAACAGAAGACAAAAGTAACAAAGAACAAATATGCACAATGCACTAAAGTACTTTATTAACTAAAAAATAAACTCATTATGATGTAAAAATGAAATGGGGAAATGTGGGTTAATGCTACACATGAAGAAAGCAAAGATAACGTCAACCACTATGTTTATTGAATGCAGAGTTGACAGTAAAAAAAAAGTGAAGTTGTAGATAGTTTTGTTTTAAGAATAGATAAATAAAGCAGAGTGCTGAAGAAGTAAAGAGGAGATTAATCATATTGGAGGAAGACAATGATAAATCTAAACAAGATCATGAAGGATAAGGATATTTCTATGACAACAGCAATCAGAATAGTAAAAGTAATGCCTTTTCCAGTGGTAATGTAATGGCTGTGGAAGCTGGATGTTGAGAAAGAGCGAGAGAAATAAGATGATGCCTTCAAATTATAGATCTGTAAATAGTTAGTAAGAACATTGTGGATTCAGGATGAGCTAATCAATCAGTTCTAGGCCAAATAAAGACTGCCTGCTCCCCTGAGGCAACGAACAGCAAAAAGAAACCCACATAATTTGGGCATGTGATAGGAGTGGATGATGGATTACAAAAAAATAACACTATGCTTAGCAACTTTGAAGGAAATAGAAGGAGGAGGAGACAATAAATAAGGTGGATGGATAAAACCAGAGAGATTGTAGGACTGTCCTTGAAACAGCTAAAGATTATCTCGGAAGACAGGTTGTGATGGCAAGCATTTGTTCATGCTATCACCAACGGTTGAGCCTAACTCAGTGGCATCTAAGTTGGTTTAGGATCACCGTGAATGCAGTAGTGGGTTTCAAAGTTTTTTACTACCGGTTCTGTGGGTGTGGCTTGGTGGTCATGGCATGGCTTGGTGGGCGTGGCTTGGTATGCGTGGCAGGGGAAGGATACTGTAAAATCTCCATTCCCTCCCCAATCCAGGGGAAGGTTACTTCAAAATCCCCATTTCCTCCCAATCAGCTGGGACTTTGGAGGCAGAGAATAGATGGGGGCGGGGCCAGTCAGAATTTTTACTACCGGTTCTCCGAACTACTCAAAATTTCCGCTACCGGTTCTCCAGAACTGGTCAGAACCTCCTGAAACCCACCTCCGCGTCAATGTGAAATAGAGTGAGTACAGTTTTCTCCTTCTTCAGATTAGTCTTTCCTAGCTAGATACCAGTCAACCCTGCTGAGACAACCATTCCCAGAATTCACAGTCATACCCTGTGACTTCTCTGGATATTAAAATAGTCCACCTTGGAAAGGCAGAAAGTGTTGTGGCTCCGTTACCTGAGCCTGTGTCATTGGCAGGAGAGGACTCCGAGAGTGAAGGAGAGGAGTTGGCAAGGCCTCCCTCTCCAGGACCCTCCTCTTTGGCAATGCCTTCGGTGTCTGCCGAAGGGCAAGAGATAGGGCCGGGGCCAAGCACGTCCACGCAGCCACAGGTGGACAGTGATGAGAGTAATGAGTCTTGGCTGGATCCAGGCCAGCGTCGCAGAGATAAGCGTGTGCAACAGAAGAAAAGGCGTGCCCAAGATTAGGCTGAGTCACTGGACCACACCCCACAAGGTATAAAAGGGAGCGTGGTGGCCAGTCAAACCTTGTGACGAACAAAGCTGAAAGCTTCCATGCCATTCTGCATTGCCGGACTTTTGCTATAGACTTTGCTGGATTATCTCTGGACTTGATTGACTCTGTAATTATTGAGCTGTTTCTTTTGATGTACCAGAAGCGGGGAGAAGTTATCTCTCCTCTTCGTAAGTAATAAACTCTTGGCAGGCAGCCACTAGGTTGTTGCCAAGTTCCGTTAACATAAGAAAAAGGATTTTGCCGGCTGGTTTGGTCTTTAACTCTTGGACGTCTGTTGGTGTGCGTGCGTGCGGGACGGGGACAGAACAGAAAGGCAATCTATGAGAGCTACTGAGAAGTGGAAGTGGAATGCTATAGATCAGGGGTGTCAAACTCAAGGCCTGGGAGTTGGATCCAGCCCGCGGGGTGCTTAGATCTGGCCCACGGGGCCGCCCTGGAAACAGCAAAGGACTGGCCCAAGGTGCCTCTGCCTGTGAAAACACACATAGCCCTCCCGAGTTTCGTTTGCACTGGCAGAGGGTTGCAGGAGGCCGTTGCAGCCAAAAATGGAGGTTAGGAGCCCGTTTTTGCTGGCAGAGCACTCGGGCCACCACAGGCACCTCCGACACAAGTGACGTCAAGCTGGCCATGCCCACCTCAGCCATGCCCACCCCAGTCCCCCCAAGGTCAAACACAACCCTGATGCAGCCCTCAATGAAATTGAGTTTGACACCCCTGCTATAGATCAATGTTTCTCAGCCGTGACAACTTTAAGCGGTGTGGACTTCAATTCCTAGCATTCCTCAGCCAACATGCCGTAGTTATTTGTATAGATCGACCTAAATAACATCTATTCATAAGCATCAGAAAGTTAGAAGAAACAGCTAAATTGTGTTCTGCTTACTGTGAAGCAAGAACTAGGAATTCTTGTTTGTTCTCTAAATAAGACAGAATTAAAAGCCATAGTTTATTCTTGGCTTTTGATTAAAGCAGGAGCTGGTAAACATTTCTAGTGCCTTGGTGTTTGCCCCACAGCAGTGCCAAACATTTCACAAGATAACTAATATCCCATAAAATATGGTGACTTTGATTTTGGTTTTTTCTCCGAAATTATTTAAATTTCATTGGAAGTCTCCAGGTATTCTTTTAGGGTGTACAAATGCTCTGGTATTCAGAGATGTGTGAGAAAGATTAGCTAGTGAGAAAGGGAGAGTGCAGGGAAAGGACAATAACCTCATTTATTAGTGGCTGAAAACTCCTTACAGACCCTTTATTGAAGAAAGAAAAACGAACTTTTGATTTATGGGTTGGATGATTAGAAAGGATAGACTATGGAAAGAAGGAAATTATTATGTAATCTTAGAACGGTAAAATATAAACACATTCATAACTGCTATTAAGAAGATTGGAAGCTGCTTTTTTACACAGGCACTCCTCAACTTACGACCACTATTGAGCCCAAAATTTCTGTTGCTAAATAAAACATTTGTTAAGTGAGTTTTGCCTCATTTTGCGACTTTTCTTGCCACAGTTGTTAAGTGAATCACTGCAGTTGGCAAGTTAGTAACATGGTCGTTAAGTGAGTCTGGCTTCCCCATTGACTTTGTTTATCAGAAGGTCACAAAAGATGATCACATGACCCCGGGACACTGCAACCGTCATAAATACAAGTCAGTTGCCAAGCAACTGAATTTTGATGATGTGACCAGAGGGATGCTGTAATGGTCAAAAGTGAGAAAAACGGTCATAGATCACTTGTTTTGGTGACGTAGTACCTTTGAACGGTCACTAAATGAACTGTTGTAAGTTGAGGACTACCTGTCACTTATTCTTTCCTTTTTAAAATTTACTTCTTTTCTTAATTTCTTTTTTGACCATTCACTATTTTTCTTTATTTTATTTCTCCTCTAAAATTTGCATTGCTTTTATTCTGCTAAAACTGTTTATAAACAATAGTAATTAAAATATTCTAACAATACTTTGGCATGAAGAAAAAATATTTCTGCACCTAAGGAGAAATAACAGAGGGAGCTGACCCTCTGCTGGAACAACAACAAGACAGCATTGCAACACAAAGGGAATTGGACTAGAAGTTGACCAAGAGCTCCATTAGTGAATCTTGTTCAGTCAGCTAGCTTAGTGGAGCTTCTATATAAAGAGGCAGTCTACATCTGAAGAGCTATGTGTTCTGTGCAAAAAGATGAGAAATAGGCAGATTTACTGATTTGTTAGTAGGTTCCTAGAGACATTTCTCTGGCATTGTTGTATATAGAAAAGATGGAGCAGGCCTGTCACCTCCTTGGGAATTCTAATAGCTTTGTGATGTCATCCAACCAAGCTCAACTGTCAGTTTCTGTCAGTTATCCGTTATCAGAGTGAAGATGGCTTCCAAGAGGTAAGTTGGTCTTCAGTAGGGCTGCTGGACTCTGGGGAACCTTCCCTCTTTTAGTATATCAGAAGGGTGAAAATGCTGATTTGACCTCTTTTAGGAAAGGGAAGCAGAAAATATCTACCACCTTGTCCTTTTACTTTTAATTTTTGGTGAATCATTTTTAATCAATTGGGATCACAAAATCTCTTTTACGTTCCATGAATTAGGCATGTTTTCTTGAATTTTGCCTCATTGCTACAGTCTTTCTATGCTCTAGCGTTTTTCTTAATGTTTTTTTTTTTGTTTTCTTAATGTTTTTTTGTTTTGGGGGAGAAAAAGTTTGTGTATTGGGGGGGGGAGAGGCTGGTTAAACAAGACATCTATGATCTGATTATCAAAGTTCTTCAGAGGGAACAACACACCTAATGTTGGATACCAGCCACTATATACAGCAATGGAGAAAAAAATAATTATTGGTCTTGGTCTCCAAAAAGCATTATATGGAGCATCATGGTGAGAAGACCTTTGTTCTGGGATGGGGAAACAGAGAGAGGTAAGGTAGGGAAGGAATATTTTCAGAACTGGACTCCCTCACAGAGATTTAAACAGAAGGAACTTGTCTCTTTTCCCGGGCTGGCTTGATCCCACTGTTTTGGTTAAATTTAATTGATTTTAATTGGGTTGTTTTAAATTGCGGCCAAAAATATTTATTATTTTTAAACTGTTTTTAAATTTTATATGTTCTGTTTTATTCTAGCTGTTCACCGCCCTGAGTCCTGCTGGAGAAGGGCGGTATACAAATTAAAACAAATAAATAAATAAATAAATGCTCTCTTTGGCCCAAAGGCAGAGTACAGGCCATACCTTTTCTGATACGCCAAAAATTCCTTCCTTTTCTGATCGTTCTGCCTTTCCTGGAGGTCTTCTGCCATCTGTGGAGATCTTTTGGGATTTTTTTTTTTTTTGACAGCTCTTAAATTCACATTGGGATATTTAGACTGTGATTTTCCTAAGGTTCTGAAAAACAAATTCCCATGGTAAGAAATTATCTTAATGTTACAGGAGAGGAAAAAGTAGAAACAATGGTGGGAGCTGACTTAAGAAATGGTAGTACGAACATCCACAGGTAACATGTTTCCAAAAGTCTTGCTCCAGAAGCTACCTTAATGGAGCTTCCAGATTGAGAGGCAGTCTACATCCAAAAAGCTAGTTCTCCTCAGCAACAAGATTGAAAATAGTCTGTTATTGTGATTTTAGGGGAGTAACTTCCCAAAGGCATTGTTGGTATGCAGAAATGCTGGGCTAGGTGATCAGTATTAACACCTCACAATGATTAATGGCAAGGAGGCCTGGGGTCTCCTGGGAAACTCCAGGACCTTTGTGCCTTCATTCATCTACCACTAGGTTTAACTCTCAGCTACTCGCTGCCCTCAGTGAGTGAATAGTTCCATTTCAAGATATAAGTTGGCTTTCTCAAGGGCTGATGGACTCCGGGTGACTCTCCCCATTTTGTAACCAACTTTTCAGAGGATTGGAATATTCCATGGGGGAAAATACCCATTTGTTGTCCTCTAAGGAAAGGAAAATGGGGCAAATATGTTCCAGAGCAGTTTTATTTTTAAATTCCTTATTGGTGCTAACAAAAAAACCCTTGGCTGACTATTTTTCAAGTTGATTGGTATCACATAGCATCCTTAACCTCTGAATTAGGAAAAGCTGTTTTAAATTTGGTAAACTCATGTGGCTGTGGAATACATCCAATCACACAAGGTTAAAACTAAGTTCAAACCAGAAGCATTATTATTCCACTCAGACTGCTTTCCATCATAGGGATGTTGTTATGGGTGTTGCTACAGGATCTACATGAATCAAAATGATTCTGGAAAACAGACTTTAGTCCAATCCTTTCCTTAGACTCCCTTTTCACTATTTCTCTGTTCTCTGGGATTCAACTGTTTTTACTGTTTTGGAAGAAAAACAAGGAAGGTTAGGACAACAAGAGATCCAGGAGCTGGTGCTCAATGTTCTCTTATTTTCAAACTGGAGAACACAAGAGGGTCTCTTAGGAGAAAAAATATATTGTTGATACAGAGCTCCAAAAAGAAGGACAGTGTGGTAAGTAGACACTTTGAGTTGAAAGTTGAAGTGGGACATTGAGTGGACTCCTCCATTGTAGACATATACAGGGGTCACTTCAGCATCATTCCAGATTCAAGGTTGCACATAGAGACAGGGCAGAGGTCAATGTTCCTGTTGCAGATACCTAGGTGGTAACCAAGATCACATGTGAGTCAATGGACAGACCCACCCTAGTTTCAGTTAAAGACTGGCAGCTGAAGCTCTCCTATATAGTGGATTGGACAATGAAACTGGAGGAAAGGGATATGTAGGAGAAGAAGAGGCAGAGCCTGGGGTTGAAGTTAAAAGAGGAATCAGTTTGGAGTAGTGATGTTTCTACAAGCAATCTAAGTCCAGCCTCCCCTCCCCTTGTATTTCATTAACACGCTTAACTAGTTAAGTGTGAATTTAGTCAGACTGTAACTTGGCTAGATTGTCCTGAAAGCAGCACCTTCCACTGTTGCCAAGATTGCCTACCAACTAGAAGTCAATGGCAGGTGACCTCATGGGTGCCCAAAACAGAGATGTCAGGACGCCATCAACAAAGATATGCAAGCCCCAGGCCTGTGCCCTGGAGATGCAGCTGACCATGCAAAGTGGTGTTCAATGATCTGAAAAGCGGGCCCTGCAGTTGTGGAAATAGAAGAAGAAGAGGAGGAGGAGGAAGAGGAAGAGAAAGAGGAGAAGGAGGAGGAGGAAGTTACTTGACTACATTCTTGTGAATAGGCGTGAGCAATACATTTTCTTAACTGGAACATAGTGTTGTGACCCCGACTCCCAAGCCTGTCCTAACAGAGGAAGAGGACTCAGAAGGTGATGGGGAGGAACTGACAAGGCCTCCCTCTCCAGGACCCTCCTTTCTGGCAATGCCTCAGGTTCCATCCGAAGGCCAGGAGGAACAGCCTGGGATGTGCCAGGAGGAAGGCATATCGGAGCACCAATTGATAGGGAGCGAGGATGATGAATCCTGGCTTGATCCCAGGCAGCATCGGAGGGAGAAGCGTGTGCAGCAGCAGAAGAGGCATGGGAGAGCCAAAGATTGAGCTGAGTCACTGAGCCACGCCCCACCAGGAATAAAAGTGGGTGGGATTGCTCTTCAGGCTTTGTGACGGACAAAGTTAAACCCTGAAAGTCACATCGTGATCTCTGAAATTCGGCTTGGATATATTTTGGACTGAACATTGACTAAATTCTTGTCTCGTGGATAACTTGTTGCTCCTGGAACGGACTGAAGATAAGTCCTCTTCTGCTTTATGGGAGTGAAAACGGTCTTGGCAGGCATTCGGCAGTTTGCTGCCAAAATCTTGGTCTGCCAAGAATTCTAATCTGTTTATCTAGTAAAATATTGGCAGGCGTGCTTGGTATTATGTTTGCCTGTGTGAGGAAGGGGGACAGAACACATACCATGTGGGCTTGATTCTTTGTGCCTGGCATCTCTGAAGCCAGTCAGGAAGTGATGTTCAGTCTTAACAGGTTCTGAATGAAACCATCATGAAGATGCTGATGGAAAGAAGTTTACTACTTGGTAAGGGGATGAAGACCTTTTACTGGAAAACAAAACATCTAACTATTAATATCTCGGTTTTTGCTTGTGTTTCAATGAACGATACGAAATACATGGATTGGGAGGAAATTTGATGCGCATCTCTTCACAAACTCATTGATATAATAAATGGCCGTTTCCATGAAAATTGTATGCAGCTGACATGGCGAGCAGTGAAAGTTTAATCACTCACAATGAAATCTTTTCAGACCTAGCGGACAGAACGGTAGAGAGATTTTTTTTCCTCCTTCATATTTTGCTCATGTATATTTCATTCAGAATCCTTTAAAAATATTCATTTGCAATTTTGTCTTGGCTGATCTTGAAAACCACTTAGGTTGCCTTGGCTGGAAGATCAAGAGATGCACTGTGGTTCTCAAGCTTTCCCAAAATAGAAGGCATCGTATATCCTGGTTTAAGGCTCCCATACAATCTTTTGGTCAAGATTACTTCTGCAATCTGAATCCAGTTTTTTTTCCCCCTCTCCTTCCAACCCACATCGTTCACATATGCCTGCCTTCCCTTTAAAATGCTCACTGGAAGTCTTGCTCCTTATGTTCTCATCACTGATTCTCAAATCCTGTCAACCCGTATTTTAGGCAGCCGATTAAAAACACTGTTATTCTTTGAAGCTTTTAATCAGATGGCTTTTATCTGATTCTGTTTATTGCTGTTTTACTCGTGTCTTATTGATATTTCTCCTTGTTTCTGCTTTTTATCTCTTTGCCTCTTTTTATTTTGTTTTATTATGTTTCTATGGTATTTTTGTTTTGACAGTTTTATTGATTTTATTTTTATTTAAGAGCCAGGGACCTGTGATCCCGTTGGAGCTGAGCTAAAACTTTAAGCAGACCAATGATAATTATAATTAGCAACAAACCTGGCCTGGATGTGGATGCCAATGGTATTGATTTTGGCTACTTCCATGAAGCTAATATTAAATAATGAAATGGCTATTCTAGAACTGCAAATGACATAACCTAAAACAGCCTTTCTCTTGGCTTCTAAGAGTGAGAGACTAGAATTCCTCAGTTTGAGCAGCTTCAATGCTCAGAATGATGGGAATTGTGAAACATAAAACGGGGAATAAAACGGGAAGCAAACTCCAAAAGCAACATTTCCAATTTATAAATATAATTCAATTTTCACAATTATGCGGGAGGCTAATGTTTAAACTCAGCCAATCAATATCCAGGAGCTGAGATGTGGCTGCATCGTGCTGGATGAAAGTTCCATATTTGGAGCATACTTTTAAGTGGAAATCACCTTCTACATTTAGCCTTTTTCTTTACTTGCTTTTTATTGCTCTATACAAAGAGGTGGTGGACTCAGAGACAAAAGTTGTTTGCAAGCAACATAAAAGTATTTTAGTGCTCAACTTGCAATCTTAGGATATTCTTTTAAGAGCTCTATCCAAGAAATCCAAAGGTTCCACACGAAGAAATATGGTTTGTAATGGAAATCCATTAAATTTAATTTTTGTTTTTCAAAAGTCGGGTCATAAAAAGCGGCAGCAACAACAGCAGCCACCCTGGAATTTGTTTCATTTTCTGGGTTTCGCATCTGTAATTTTACCAGTTTGTAGCCAGTGATCCATATCTGGAAAAATGTTCACATTACATAAATATTTATTCAACCTAATAAATAAAACAAATAAAAATGATATGCATATGCTCTATTTAGGGCATGGTTGATGGCATGACTCTTTCTCCATTACGAATGCTTAGTTGAAGCCTCTTTAAGCACCCCTTTTTCTCCGTCTGGCTGGCTTTGCAAACATCATTCTCGTGTATCTTGGAAAAAGTCTCCCTCCAAAGAGATTTGAGGCACACATATGCTGCAGCTGAGCAACACAAGCCTAACTTTCTTCCTGCACAGCTCCAAGGGTCTTACTCCTAAAGAGAAAAGAAGGACTAGGGGGTGACATGATAGAAGTATTCCAATATTTGAGGAGCTGCCACTAAGAACAGAAGGGTCAACTTATTTTCCAAAGCACAAGAAGACAAGACAAGAAACAATGGATGGAAACTTATCAAGGAGAGAAGCAACCTGGAATTAAGGAGAAACTCCCTAACGGTGAGAACAATTAACCAGTGGAACAGCTTGCCTTCAGAAGTTTTGGGTGCTTCATCACTGGAGGTTTTTAAAGAAGAGCCTGGACAGCCACTTGTCTGAAGTGATATAGGGTTTCCTGCTGGAGGAGGAGGTTGGACTAGAAGACCTCCAAGCTCCCTTCCAGCTCTATTCTGATTGGTTGAATCAGATAATATTGAATATATATGAACAAGAGACCACCTTGATGATTATAAGTAGACCTCGTGGGAGCACATGCATGCATACAAACAAATATATTTTTTTCTGTGGGTTGGAAAGTAAAGGGAGGGACTCCTGCGATCTCTCAGGATAGAAATATTTGTCAGAGTTTGGGGCAAGCAAGGAGCAGGTTGTGTGTATTGGGGATGACGTCAAGAGGCTATCAGTTGCTTTCTTGCACACACTGGTGAAGTATATAACCAGTGTTGGGGGATAGCTTAATGGCAAGTGGATGGCTGAGTACATTAAAGTCCCCCTCCCACCTTAATCCCTCATGGAACCCAATATGAAAACTCTGCTATTTGGTTGGACTTTAAGCTAGTTGTCCTAGGCAAGCTACGGAACTCTCTGCTTGGCAAGTATCTTGTTCTGTCCGTTATGTCTATGATAAATGGTCATGCAATCAGACTCCAGCAATTGCATAGGTAGGGGGACACATTTTGCAAACAAAGAACACCATGAATTGAGCTTCTAGTGCAGACAGAGAAAGTCAGCTTGACAGACCAAAAAAAAAAGTACAGTTCAGCTGCAATGTTATCCCCAGTGACTGATCTACGTAGCTACCAGCTGTGCTGACTCCTATCGAGATGATTATGTAAGCCCAATTATTATCTCAAACTTCTGCTAAACACAAAATGATTTCTTCCAACTCATTCACACAACCAACAGTTGTAGCTGCTCAGACTGGACAGCCTTTTAAAAATGGCCCTGATTATCTCAAAGGGGTGCAATTGAAATTTGTTGGTTATTTAATTAAAAGAACACAGCAGTGCTGTGAGTCAATATAATATTCCTATTAAAATCATCCTAGATCTGATCATGTGGATTGAAGCAAGATATTAGCTTGTTAAGATTTTGTCCCAAAGGTGCTTTTTTCAAGAGGAAACTGGACTTTCTGGTTTTTCTTTAAAGACGTGCCACGTCTTTAAAGATGAGAAGCAAAACGTCTTTAAAAAAAACCCAGAAAGTCCAGTTTCCTCTTGAAAAAAGCACCTTTGGGACAACCATGACCTGGATGACTGAGAATCTCCATAGACTTTGTTAACATTTTTTTCTTTCTGCAAGGAACTAGAACATCTCCATGAGTAGGTCATAGTTGTTTCTTTGCTTTTATTCTTCTGTTTATAAGATAAAGACTTCAAGAGTCTGGCCTCCATGTCCCATGGAGGGACTCCAAGGTCTAGCCTATTTATTCCTTCCTCTATTCTAGCAGGAGATTCCACCACAGATTCCACCTTACACCACTGGCCTCTTTAATTCCAATCTAGATTGGGTTCATACAACATGTTTATCTGCTAACTTAACCACAGCTTGCTTACTTCACCAATTGCTTGGGCTTGACCACACACTGAACCATAAATTAGCCACCCTGGTTTAGTCCACACAACCTTCTGAACCAGAAACCAGCCAGGTCAGATTTATTTTAGTATGTGGTGTGAATGAAGTGCTCTCTCCAATGCTACCATGAAGACCAGACCAGGGAAGCCTCGAAGACTTCTGCAACCTCTGGCAGACCCTTCCCAACCCTGGGAGGAAATAGGAATGGATTTTATAGTAGATCTATCGGAGAGTGGGGCAGGGGTGAAATTAAAAAAATTCCCCTACAGGTTCTGTGGGTGTGGCTTGTTGGGGGGAAGTCATGTGACTGGGTGGGCATGGCCAACTCAACATCACTCACACCAAGGGGCTCCTCACTGGCCCCTCCCCTCCCAGCCACTCATCACGAATGGCAGGAAAATGGGGAGGGGAATATTCCTGCCTACCTTCCTTCCCTCAGTCTATGCTGAGATTGAGGAATGGATGACAGGCAGGAAAATCCCCTTCCCCATTTTTCTGCCTTTCACAAAAACGGCTCCATTCCAGCTGTATAACCCTCCCCCCCTCCTTTCCTCCTGGGGACTACCTTAAAAGGGACAGGCTGCAGCAGCTCCGTTCTGAATGGAGGGAGAAAAGTTAGCATTCTCTCTGCTGCATTTAACATTGAATTCTGTGGCAGAGAGAATGCTAACTTTTCTCCCTCCATTCAGAATGGAGCTGCTGTTCCCTTTATGGTTCCCTCCTGGTCCCTTACCTCATGGGGACTACCTTAAAAGGGGCAAGCTGCAGCAGCTCCATTCTGAATGGAGGGAGAAAAGTTAGCATTCTCTCTGCTGCATTTAACATTGAATTCTGTGGAATATTGAGTGGCCAGAAGAGGTGGGGCCAAGGAGGGGTAATTACTACCGGTTCGGCAAACTGATGCCCATAATCCCTAGCTGTTCACCCAAACCAGTCGGAACTGATAGGATTTCACCCCTGGAGTGGGGGAAATATGGTCATCTGGACCGTAGTGGATTTATTCTCCAAACAAGCTCATTTTGTCGCATGTTCAGGACTGCCATCAACCAGGAAATTATTCAAGATGTTTGTTAAACATATCTATAGATTACATGGAGTACCTTGCAGGATAATTTCAGATAGAGGGGTTCAGTTCACCGCAAAGTTCTGGAAGTCATCTCAAGGGTTGAGCTCAGCTTTCCATCCAAGCACTAATGAATCGGTACAACATTCAAACGTAATGATTGGTCAATATTTAAGATGTTATGTAAATTATCAGCAGTCCAACTGGGCTGATTTATTATCTTTTGCTGAGATTGCTTATAATAATGCAATACACAGCAGCATGTGGTTAACCCAGTGGTGGGTTTCAAAATTTTTTACTGCCAGTTCTGTGGATGTGGCTTGGTGGGCATGGCTTGGTGGGCGTGGCTGGGGAAGGATACTGCAAAATCTCCATTCCCACCCCATTCCAGGGGAAGGTTACTGCAAAATCCACATTTCCTCCCAATCAGCTGGGACTTGGGAGGCAGAGAATAGATGGGGGCAGGGCCAGTCAGAATTTTTACTACTGGTTCTCCGAACTACTCAAAATTTCTGCTACTGGTTCTCCAGAAGTGGTCAGAACCTGCTGAAACTCTTTTCCAGATTAGTACTGGAATGGAATTCGTCCCCATGCCCGAGTTGCCAAGGGACACCCCTCCATCCATGTCAGTAAATGAATGGATGGAATCCTTAAAGGAGTCATGGGAAAACACTAAGAAGGCTTTAAGCGCAGCTGTGGAAATTCACAAGAAGCAAGCTGACAAACGTTTGCAGCAACCTCATTTCAAAGTAGGAGGTAAGGTTCATCTGTTGACTAAATACTTAAAGTTACAGTTGCCTTCTAGAAAACTGAGTCCAAAATTCTTAGGACCTTTGATGCTTCTTCATCAAAGTGTTTCAGAGCTGATCTGCTTTTGTACAATAAAGGAAAACAAAATCCCACCCCCACCTTCCAGACAAT